GAACCCCAGAATTGGAAGAAGCTGTTTTGAACGCTCTCGAGGAGAATCCAGAAACAAGCACAAGAGTAATTGCTGAAGCTGTCAATTCTACTCAGTCCACAGTTTGGAGAATTATCCACGATCAACAGTTTTATCCATACCATATTCAAAGGGTACAAGCTCTTTTGCCACGAGACTTTCCCCAACGCATTACTATGTGTCAATGGTTTTTGAGAAAATTGGCTGAAAATCCTCAATATTTAAGATATGTACTCTTCACGGACGAGGCTAACATGTTTGGGCTCTCGAAAATCCGCACGCAGTTAGTGAAAGGCATTATCAGTATCAATTTTCTGTAAATGTATGGGCGGCAATAATTGATAATTACTTGATAGGTCCTTTCTTTCTTCCGCTCCGACTGAATGGCGCAACTTAAAGACACTTTTTAGAAAATGAATTGCCGGGACTACTTCAGATTGTACCATTAGAAATACCATTAGAACTCCCTCCCTTGAACTCCTATCGAATGATAGGTACAACCCCTATTTTTTAAAATGGGAAGTATAGGTTTGTGATATATTGTTTGAAAATGTTATCGTTTTCAAGTTTACTGCAACATTTGTGATGTACTGTTTGGAACCTTTGATGTAGTGATGGATATTAATGGAGTTTTAATAGTATTTTCTATTCTATTTAATAATAGAAAGGCCAATTGTGGAATTAATTCAGGGTGGTACACTTGTATGGATGGTATTACTGATTACCTACCTGTATGATGTACCTGATTAGTATAAATAGCTTCAGTTTTGAGTAGTTTCCAGTTTTATTTCCCTCTTGAAGATGATCACTTGGTGATCGAAACACGTGTCAAGGTGTAAAAATAAGGATTTGGTGTTGGGAAAAACTCCAGTTATATTCATTACTACACCAAAGGTTTCAAACAGTACATCTTAAGTATAAGGTATACCGGCTGATTCACGGTGGATGGCACATTAGACGTTTCTGGTGAACCAGACAACGGATCACTTTGAAAATTTAATGGAGGGCATATTCGGACATTCTCTAGCCAACTAAAATATTTTCGACAATGCGGTGTTGCCGCTTCTATTAGAAAGC